CAACGCGCTAAACGAAAGTAATTCTTGTGACCCCAAGTGTTGTTTTTTTTTTGTTTTGTTTCGTTTGACGTTTGACTTATGATTTTAAAATTATCATATTATATTTAGTATGTATCTTCCAATTTAGCGTAGTGCTGAGTGCTGTTTTCCCTTATTCAAATTTTACTCTCATTCATACATATGTAACTTTTTTTTGGATCCGCTGAATTCTTGTTTTTACAATATTAAAAAAATTATTTGTCACTCTATTCTCATTCTCACTAATGCACCCTTAAATGAATATAGACTGGATCAATGCCATTCTCCACATGGGTAATTGTTTTACTAGTTTATTTGAATCGTACTAAAATTACGTTTTTATGTTAATAAAAAAAAAATGTTCGTCATTAATATTTGTGCACAAATTTCTTTCGGCAGGTTTTAAATCAAGATGTGAAGAAGGAGAATCCCCTGCAGTTCAGATTCCGCGCCAAGTTCTATCCGGAGGATGTGGCTGAGGAGCTCATTCAAGACATTACTTTGCGTCTGTTCTATCTGCAAGTGAAGAATGCCATACTGTCCGACGAAATTTACTGTCCACCAGAAACATCCGTACTTCTCGCCTCGTACGCCGTTCAAGCGCGTCACGGCGACTACAACATGGGTGTACACACAGCTGGCTTTTTGGCCAATGACCGTCTGTTGCCACAACGCGTGATCGACCAACACAAAATGTCCAAGGACGAATGGGAGCAATCGATAATGAATTGGTGGAAGGAGCATCGCGGCATGCTGCGCGAAGACGCCATGATGGAGTACTTGAAGATCGCGCAGGATCTTGAGATGTATGGCGTGAATTACTTTGAAATTCGCAACAAGAAGGGCACCGAACTGTGGTTGGGCGTTGACGCGCTCGGTCTTAACATCTACGAACAGGATGACAAGCTGACGCCGAAGATCGGTTTCCCTTGGTCGGAGATCCGAAACATTTCGTTTTCGGACAAAAAGTTCATAATCAAGCCAATTGACAAGAAAGCGCCCGACTTCGTCTTCTTTGCGCCGCGTGTTCGCATCAATAAACGTATTCTGGCGTTGTGCATGGGCAATCACGAATTGTATATGCGACGCCGCAAACCCGATACAATCGATGTGCAGCAAATGAAGGCGCAAGCGCGTGAGGAGAAAAACGCCAAGCAACAAGAACGGTGAGTTGGGGTGGG